ACACAAACACACCCTTTCACAACTAAAGCTTTCATTTTCCCAGTTGCTGAAAATGTTGGCAGCTGATAGCATACAAGTTAAGTTCCTCTCCAAGAATTTCTCCCTGCAGAAAAATAATAAGGGAAAGCCTGCTTACTCGAGGTCACACCCCTTTCCCAGAGGCTGCCCATGTCCAATAAGGGTATAAGGCTCCCAACCACTTGTCTAAATGGGAGACAAGTAGGAAAAGTCACACAAACTTTAGATTCTGTGTGATTATCTGAGATAGTGTAATTGCAGAGCACTTTAATCCCCCCTTTGCCAGACCCTGCTTCCTTCACTCCTGCACAGGTGTTGGCTTGAGAATACACTCCAATAAATGTTTTGTTTATTGTCTCACATATTTGTCTCAGAGTCTGTTCTGGGGAACCAAACTACAACAATTAATGTAAAATTACTTAAATATTCTGGACTAAGTTACTTTGCTTTTATTCAGTCTAAATAGAAGTGTTCAAAGGGGCTTAGCTGCCACAGGATGAAATGCGCATCTACCAAGGTAATTTCTAGGTTTACTGGTCACTTTATTTTATTCATGTAATTAGTGTTGTTGCTGTCATTAGATAACTATGTATGTCAACACAGGTATGAATGTGAATCTTCCTTTCACAGGTGAGGAAATTGGTGGCTTAGGGAAGATAAGAAACTTACCCAGCTAGACAGTGTCTAATTCTGATTGATTCTCCCATCAGACTTTTAGCTGCTTGAAGGCAGGAGCCACTTCCTTTATGAACAGCACTGTTTCCCTTCATGTAATGCAGTGTCTTGCTCTCAATGACAGTCAATAAACATTTATCAAATGAATAAATTAATCCATATGTCTGACCACAAATCCCTGCCATTAACCCCTGTGCTATACAGTCTCCTACGTATTTGATGAGCCCTGGATTAATGGTAAACATCATAAAGAACTTAAAAAGGAGGGGGGATTTGAAGTCTAAGATGTCAAAAGCAATCTATGTGAAGCACACAGGAATGGGTAATTTAAATATGCATTTTCTTTAAAAATTGAGAGGGAGAGCCTTGATTTTGTTTCTTTTTATAGTAGATACTCATGTTCCTTATAGGTATCAGATACCATATCAGAGAAAGAGTAGTGAGGCTGCCTGTGGGTTGAGTTGTTCGATTATTTTAATATATCTTTATTAAAAGTATATATTCAATTTAATATAATATTCTAGGAGGGCTAAAATGACCACATAAAGAAAATAATGGCTATTTCCCCCAATGTAATGTAATGGAGATGATCTCCACCCACCTTCTCTACTTTCCTAGGCAGCAGCTATAAAAATAGAAATGAAAAAGAAACATTTCCACTGATAATTATCACAATGAATTTACTAATGCCTCTTGTGTCCCTTTTGTCCTGAAACGAAAGTTTTTATCAGGATATTTTACAAAGAGCATCCAGGATGTGTCTAACATTTGGATGCAGATATTAAGCACAGTGTTGATTTGGAGCCTGTCAGTAACTGATTCAATAGTTAAGTAAAATTCTTATAGCAGTAAAGTTAGAGAGATGAAGAGATTATCAAAGCTCACTCTTCTAAGGAAATCCAAATACCTAGAAGTGTTGGAAAAGAGTCAAGAAGCAGTAATCTAGAAACATTTCTAGAGAATGAAAATTGAATAGAAATAGTTTATTCCTTTTATTCCCAAGAAAGTCTCTGAAACGTCTGCTGTAAATCAGGCAATGTTTCTTTTGTGCAAGAGTTAACCAACCTGACTTCCTCTACTCCTCATCTATGGACGAGTTAAAGTGGCAAATTAGAAGTCATAGAGAAGGTCTGCTATAAGTGGGCACATAAAAACCAGAATGAACATTTAACAATCAAGACATTTTTTTTATAAAAGAAAGGCATGATTAGTAAAATACTTCAACCTGAAAAGGCATATGGACACCCCAGTTATCCCCCAATACACCTTAGTTTTGCAGAAGAGCAGGAGATTCATCTCAGTGATGGTAATCTTGAAACATCCGTTTAAATTACAATATTGTTCTGCATGTAATTTATTTTAGAAAAATGTGATACCTTTCAGAAATATTCCAGGGGATCCGCTGGAAGGCAGAATGAACTTGTGGTTCACCAAGCAGACTGTCAACCGTGCACCAGTGTAGGGTCCAAACTCACTGAGCCTCAGTTTTCTAGTCTATATAATGAGGATGAGGGGAACTACTTCAAACATGGATTGAATATGTTAAGGCATTAGAAGAATGCTTGGCATGTAATATATGCTCATAAATAGTATTTAGTATTATCTCAGCAGATAAATATTATTCAGCATATGCTTATTTTTAAATGTTTAATATGTATCTGAAAATTGAATCAGGAGGATAGAGTGGATATAAGAGAAGTGGACAGATGACTTGAGGTTGCATTTTTTTTCCAGTACATTAGCAAGAACATGATTTGAAGGGGTGTGAAGAAAAGAGAGAAAGCAAAAGTAATCTCCATGTGATAGCCTGATAAGGATGATATTTATTACTGAGGAAGCTATCTGGGGAAGGATAGGTTTCAGAGTCAAAATCATGTTTGTTTGTTTTTATTTGGTTTTATGTCAAATTAGTGATATTAATCAAAGTGATGGTGGCTGGATAAGGGAATTGGGGTTCAAAGTAGAGATCAGGTTTGCAAAAATGGCTTTTTAGGGAACAATGAAAAGATAACCATTTAAAACTATTCCATTTAGATGTCAAGTATCCAGAAATTTTCTGGCTCCTTCAGAATGTTTTATACCAACCTACTGCCATCTGCTCTACTCTCTTCTCTCTTTCTCTTCATTCTTCCTATCAACAATAAACCCTACCCTTTTACCACCAGAGCAATAGGACAGGTAGTCAATTTCTAGCTCAATGTGTTTTTCCAAACAAGACAGTGTTCTTTCTCTTCAAGAGGAATTCTGGTACCAGCTTGCAATCTTTATTCCCACAGCATGACTTAATGAGCTATGTTTTATTTCTATAATCCTATATAATAAAAGGGTAATATGCAAATTGACCAAACGGCTGAACAACCGGTCGCTATGACGTGCACTGACCACCAGGGGGCAGATGCTCAATGCAGGAGCTGCCCCCTGGTGGTCAGTGTGCTCCCACAGGGGGAGCGCCACTCAGCCACAAGCCGGGCTGACAGCTGGCAAGTGCAGGGGCCCACCTTCGCGGCAGCACTAAGGATGTCTGACTACGGCTTAAGGCCATGGGGAGCGGGCCTAAGCCATCAGTCAGACATCCCAGACTGTGAGAAGGTGCAGGCCAGCCTGAGGGACCCCCCCTCCTGAGTGCAAAAATCTCGTGCACTGGGCCTCTAGTTAGAATATAAACATTGTGAGAAAGAAGATGGCATATACTGTGTACCTGATTTTGATTAATAAAGTGCATCCAAAAATTCTAAATGAAATACATGTTGAAATTTATTTTAGGTACTCTATTGTCCTCCTTAGGTCAATGTTGAGACATTGTTTTAGTTTCTTAAATTTTTATGTTACCACTTTGCTGATACAAATTATGACATTGATCATTCTAAAATTCTCTGCACATTTATTTAAGTAAATATAATGTATAAAATCCAGAAAAAAATGAATAGGCTCATACATTGATGTTCATTACTTATTCAAATTATCTATATTCTCAGGTAAACCTATAAAATTCAAATTTAGGAAATTAGATAAACACATTTTAAAATGCCTTTTAGTTCAAGGACAAAAAGAAATGAGCTATCAAGCCATGAACAGACATGGAGGAACCTTAAATGCATATTACTAAGTGAAATAAGCCAATCTGAAAAGACTCCATACTGTACAATTTCAACTACAATAGGTCCTCGGGTTACATTGGAGATCCGTTCCTACGGGACATAATGCAATTTTCACCGTAAGTCGGAACCCACCTACATAAGCACCTACATCACTCACATGGAGCACATACATAAATAGCAGTAATGAAGTGAAACAGTAAAAAATAATTTGAAAGAAAGATAACAATTCCTGACCTTTACTTGTGGTAAATAAATAATAAAAAACATAAAGCACATATGTTGAAATGACGGAACTTTTTTTAATATATAAATAAATGGGAGATGGCGACGTAACCACGAAACAATGTACGTGGAGTCTGATGTAACCCGAGGACTGCCTGTATACAACATTCTGGAAAAGATAAAATTATGGAGATGATAAAATTCAGCAGTTACTAGGGGTAGGAGGCATAGTGGAGAGATGAATAGGAAGACCAGGGGATATTTTTAGGGCAGTAAAAATACTCTATTATAATAATGAACAAATGCCATTGTAATTTTGTCCAAACCCATAGAATGCACAGTGAATCCTAATGTAAACTGGATTTGGGTGATTATGATGTGTCAATGTAGGTTTATCCTTGGTAAAAAATGTGCCACTTTGGTGAGTGATGTTGATTGGGGGGAAGTTACGCCTATGTGCTTTAGAAATTTCTGTACCTCCCTTTCAATTTTCTCTAAACCTAAAACTGCTCTAAAAGCATAAAGCCTTCAGCCCTGGTCGAGTGGCTCAGTTGGCTGGTTGGAGTGTCACCCCTTTTACCCAAGGGTTGCAGGTTTGATTCCTGGGGCTGGTGGTGGGGCACATGCCTGAACTGTGGGTTCAATTCCCAGTCAGGGTGTGTGCTGGGGGGTGGTGTTGGCTGGTGGATGTTTTTTCTCTCTCTCTTTCTAAAACTCAATTAAAAAACCAAACATATCCTTGGGTGAGGATTTTTAAAAATAATAATATATAAAGCTTTTAAAACAATGATTTTTAGAATAAGTTAATCATTTATTGACTATTGGTAGTGATGTTGCACTGAGAAATTTAATCTCATGAAGAATTCTACAGATTTTTTAAAGGCTTGCTGAAAATGTAGGGGTTTGCACACAAAATGTGAAAGTATCACTCTGTCTTCAATGAACGTTTTTTTTAAACATAATTTTCTTTCTGTGTCCTTACCATAGGCTACATATCGAAACCGAGTTGTGAGCCAAAGTCTCAGCACAAGGGACAGAAAAGCAATACATACTCCCACCGAGGACCGTTTTAGATACTCGTCAGCTGACCAGACAAGCCCCTACAAAAGCAAGACCTGTCAACTATCAAGTATGTGTTTAAATAATTTCTTGAAGGACAAGGAACTAGTGGAAGTTATCAAACACTCAAGAGGAACTTGTGAAAGCCTCACTTCAGAGGTCACCCAGAACTTAAGGGCCACTGTTGGGCAGAACTCTCTGAAGCCAACAGCTAAGACTGAAGGGCTCCCCACGTCCTCAGAGAAACCAAAGGACCAAGCTGCTGTGGCCCGACAGCATTCAACCTTTACAGGCAGGTTCGGACAGCCACCGAGAGGGCCAATCTCTTTACACACATACAGCAAAAAGAATGTTTTTCTCCATCACAATTTACACACCACTGAGCTGCAGACTCTAGGCCAACAGGATGGGTAATTACATCACCCGATTCTGTCTCTGAGTAAAGATGGTTAGTGTTTCTCGTTCATAGCTCACATTTCAATAGTCACGTACTTTTTATTCTTTTTATTTTTGGTTATAAACAATGAATTGTGTACTTTTTTTTTAAGAAAGAGGGTTCAAGCATGTTAATTGAATTAGGTTTAATAGCCTTGAAGGTTTTATTATATAAATATGTATAATAAATGGGACCATCTTGCTGGTTTATATAGTCCATAATTTATTTATTTTTTATCTTTATCAGTTACTGATATCTATTGAAGTTCCTGAAAGTAATATCAGATAGTACTCTATTCATTGAATGGCGTAACTGTGAAAATAGATGTGAGAAATAAGTAGATGAAGGAATTGTAAAGAATTTTAACTTACATAGTTAATAGAAGGAAAAGAGAAGATGGATTTTAAATCTTATATTTGGTGGTGTATTTATTTGAAGAATGGAGTTTGCTTGCATGTAACCTAGAGATACGTTTGTCTCTCTATCACTTACATTCAAGCTTATCTTGTCACATTATAAGGGGAGGGGGGGTCTATTTCTTTTGCCTCTAAATGTTTAGTTCACACTAGTTCAAAAGGACTTTAGACTGAGTAATTGCTAGCCAAATAGAGAATGACAGCTCTGATCTTACAAAAATGTCTTATAGTTTTTGCTAGTGATGTTGAAGTACTAGGACAGGACAGAGGGAGGTGGTAAAGTTGGCTAAATTCTGTCAAATGATGCAAAAAGCATGATATGCTTGCTCTTTTAATCATGGCCATGTCAGCATATTTTTCCAAGTTTTACAGATGGAACATTCTAAGAAACTTATTTTACTTCACTTTCCTTGTATTTTTTAAAATCTTCGACTATTTTTTCTGTATATTCAGTTTCAACCTGTATGCACCTACCCATACAAGATGAGTTGAGGAACAGAAAGTCAGTTTCTTGGTAGCTCAGTATACACTGTTTTGACTGTTTAGTCATCTAGCTTTGGAAGGAAAAGTTAAAAACGTGAACTTTGGTGATTTGATCTCAGTATTTAACACTCATTTGATGGCAAATATTTCTCTTTAACAAATAAGGCCTGTTGTGTTTTACTTAACGCACATGAGATTGATCAATAAATCAAGATAATTTCTTTATGGCTAATTAATACCAGACTATATGCAGCTATAAAAATAAATAATAAACAGAAACCAGTAGGAAACAGGTCTGCAGTTTTCTTATACAAAGATAAAAGCTAATCACAGTATCCATATTAGGCATAGTTCATGCAAATCGAAATTTGTCATACCTACTGCATGATCTGTTTTCCTGGCATTCTCTAACAGACAGAATCCATCTGCATGTGCAAATGTAATGAATAAAGGGAAATTGAGATAGCAGTTTTTTAGCATGTCATCTAACTAACCTGCTTAAATTAAAGCTGTGTGTAAAAAGCATCTCCTAATACAAAAATGCTCTAGGCTTTGGGGAAAGGCCATTAGATTCCTACCTTAGCTTGAACTATTAAACTTTGGCGCAATTCTCAAACTTTGATTAGAATTGATAAGAGTAAAGAGTCTAGTGCATATGCTATACTTGCAATTCTAAAGGAAGACACATGTGCATCAAGACAAATGTTTGCCAAATGTTTTTATTCTTTGTGCATTTGTAATGCTGCCAGAAGAGAACAATATGCACTATGATTTGCTTGGCTTAATTAGACTGCTATCTAAAATTTCCGGCTATAGTTTAGAAGCTATAATACTTATGCAGATATACATTTTGGACCAGGCAATATTTAAGACATGCTAGAAAACCAGAAAAATGATGATTATTAATTATGTAATTCAGTTTTATTTGTCCAGAAAGTTTCTGTGTATTGCTAGAGTATTTGAATTCTGTAAATAAGTTAGCATGATAAAATGATCAAGGATTTTTTCCCAGGATATGGAAGAACTGTGTATCACAAATAATGTTTTTGATCTGGACTTTTGGAGTTTATAGTTTTGTTTTCCTGGAAGATAGACTTTTGAATTATGCTTTGTAAAAAAAATAATCTATTTAAGAAAATCTGTCATTTAATAGACATTTTAAGAGACATTTTAAACACTAGTATTTTCTTGAAAAACCTTTTTTAAAGCTGAAACATTCAAAAAGAAAACCTGGATTAAGCAGTTCAATTTTAAATGGAGGGATATTTTTTGGAAATATCATCTTAAAGCTGTTTTGTACCAGTATTTTCAGCATTGTTATAATATTATTTGTAATACTAAGTGTAACTCAGGCCTGGAGAAGGTGTAAGCCCACCATGCCAACGTCCATCAGTAACTGTAAAACAGGGGTCAAGTTCCTCTGGTGTATATATAGAAACTCAAAACAAGAGCATATGGGCATTCTTTCAGCGGATTGATTTCTTTGTACTAAAATCTCTAGTTTTCTAAGACAGTTCCATGTGTAAAAATGATTTATACATTTTCTCCAAGGCAGTACATATCCAAAGACAGGACACCAGGGGGAAAAAGTGCTTGTTTTTCTGACAGGAGCAGTTGTGTTTCTTTCCCTTCCTCTTTCTTCTGTGCATGTATATGTGTAGCTAAGCCTACGTAACCCTGTAAAAGTTCTGCTGCAAATTGTCTCTTCTGAATTTAGAATGTGTTTTGAAGGACACCTAAGAAGAGATAGTCCTCGAGGAAAAGCTGTTTCTACCTGAAATAAACTGTGCCCGTTTTTGTAATTCTCTTGTAACATGAAACTGTATTTCTATGGAACTCAGTGATTTTTTTCAACTGATTTTTTTATATGCTAACAGTCACAGTGAAATTTTGAATTCTCTCTCAAACTATTTTTGCTTCTTTGGAGCACCGTGGTCTGTGCAAATGGCAACAGGAAACTGTAGCTGCAATGCTAAAGGTAAACCTACAAGTATCAGTATGCTCAGGGGAAGAACCTAGAGCCACACATTGTTCACGTTGTTTCTGTTATTTATTGAGTGAGGTATAAAGAACTAGCAAGCCACTAGTCAATATTAAACATGTGTAGGCATGCCCACACTTACCTAATTTAAAATGTTTACAAAGACTTTCATGATTAATCCGTGTTATGACCTCCGTTTTACCCTATATATGCCAAGAGGTAGTCCTAGCCCATGGCCACTATTATCTGAGTGTTACTGAATTCAAAGAAAATTTCACATTTTGTTTTCTTTGCCTTGTATGTGTTTAATACAGATAATACCTCCCCTCAAAAGAGTTATTTTTTTAAATTGTCATGTATTTAAGGACTACATCCACATGATAAATTATCACACTCTTCTAGAACTTTCTGAGTAACTTAGTTATCAATGGAACAATAGGAGCAATTTATTGAATAACAAGTATTATTTCTACGTATTTATTATCCACATTCATTATCACCTTTATCATTTTCAAGAAGTAGTATCCCATTACAGTGTGTAACTTGGAATACTGGGTATAATCTTACACTTATAATCTCAATTTTGCTCCACTTTTTCACTTTCAGAATTTTACATTCCAAATACCTTTAGAAGTATGAAGTGCTTAAAAACAGCCCTTGCAACTCCACTGAGCCAGGTGTAGATCAAAACGGAAAAAGAAAGAGAGGTGACTACAAAGGTGCTGTCTGTGAGCGCCACCCACTTGACTGAATCACACTCCCCCTGGCCAGAAGCTTTGCCCTTGCTGATATATCTGTTTAAATGCAGCACTGATTCATTTTTACTAAGATGTTTATTGCATTCTGGGGCTTAACTCTTAAGGCATTATTTATTATCAGGTCTTTTTGTATATTTTTATTTTCTTTTTTGTACAAAATACTTTAACCATACATGATATTTTTGAGGAACTTAATCCTCTTGGAATTTAAATTTTTTTCTTGTTCACTCTCTGCCCCCATGTTCTTACTTTGTCATGCCAACTCTAGGCTATATATATAAACACATGGCAGGGATGACAGAAAATATAAGCAAGTTTGGGCTCTTATAAAAAGTTGAATTTCACTGTAGTATAAAAGTAAATAGCCAGCTATCAGCCAACCAAACAAAGAAGCCCACTCTCTTAACAAAATTCATGATCATTGCCAAATTTTTACTTTTCAAGTCTTAATCTGTGCCAATTTTTTTCACCAATAGGCAGAATCACAACATATACATGAACTATCCTATATAATAAAGAGGTCATATGCAAATTAACCCTCACAACCTCACAAGATGGCTGCCTATGACCAGGCCAGCAGCGGGGTTAGTGAGGGATGACAAAACAACTGAACAGCAGGCTGCGTGGGGCAACCAGGCTGGCAGGGGGGACAGTTAGGGGCAACCAGGCTGGCAGAGGGGGACAGTTGGAGGCGACCAGGCCAGCAGGGGGGGCAGTAAGAGGCAACCAGGCTGGTGGGGGAGGGTGAAGTTGAGAGTGACCAGGCTAGTGGGGGGGGGCAGTTGAGGGCGATTAGGTTGGCAGGGGGGCAGTGAGGGTTGACCAGGCTGGTGGGGAGTTGGCAGTTAGGAGCAACCAGGCCGGCAAGGAGGGGGCAGTTGGGGGCGTGTTTGGCGATTTTTGCAGTTAGGGGCGATCAGGCCGGCACGCAGAGGCAGTGAGGGGCGATCAGGCCGGCAGGTGGGGGAAGTTAGGGGAAACCAGGAAGGCAGACAGGTGAGTGGTTAGGAGCCAGTGGTCCAGGATTGTAAGAGGGATGTCCACCTGCTGGTTTAGGCCTGATCCCCGAGATCAGGCCTAAACCGGCAGTTGGACATCACCCAAGGGGTCCCGGATTGGAGAGAGTGCAGGCTGGGCTGAGGGGAACCCCTTCCCCTCCTGTGCATGAATTTTGTGCACCGGGCCTCTAGTGTATTTATAATAAACCTGATCTTGCTCACAACCCAGTTGTAGTTCTAAGTAATGTAACCAAAAACACACAAAAGTTGAATATATTACTTTCTGGGTATGGAAAAGAATAAAGGCAATTCATTCTATTTTAGATTTGGAGAATTTCTCACAAAATTTGTGACACAATAAAAACTCCTAATTAATGCAGAGTGACTTTCTTACACCTGAGTAAGTGATTTAGGATGTGAGATATCATGGTTCTTACTAGAGAAATTTCAGTGTAGCCTTATTAACTTCATCACTTTAACAAACATACTTTTTCATTTTGAACATAAAATTCAAGATAAGGAGCTTTCTACAGCTTATCATTTCTTAACATTACCTCCTTGCTTTAGTAA